CTTTCTTGCCTAGAATTTCATTTAAAGTACTCTAGAACTTTTTACTATCATTCTTTATATCATTTATCTTTGCTCCATAGTATAATGTATTCTTATTTTTGTTTAGTTACGTGATTTCTCAATGTACTGTGTGTTTGCCAGTCTGCTTGCCAGTCTGCTGTGTTGTCAGACTTATTTGCTATTCCCTTTGCCTCATCCCGATCAGCCATACAGTTTTTCAATTCATCATCTATCCATGGGGATTTGGCAGTTCTAACAGTCCGTTTCTTGACGGGTGCATGCCTATCAGTAACCGGGAGAAGCAGTTTCATAAATGCTTCAAGTTTAGCATCTGGATGTTCCTCATTACACGCATCAGACCAACACATATTTTTCACATCTTCGACATAGGAATCATTGCAAAACCTCTTATATGATCGTTTATACACAATTTTAGGTCCAGTCTTTGGAACTATGGTTTTTCTAGATATGGCTATTATATTATGAACACTACATCCGTTGGGTGTGGATACTGCTTTAGAGCTGATTCCTGCAACATTAATAAAGATGTGATCAATACACATGGATGATTTAGTTCCTGTTCTGTTTGTAAATACCCTGATAGGTTGACTGATGACTTGAACCAGATTGCAGGCACTGGTTACAGATTGGAGCTTCTTTTTGTGTGGGCAGCTTGATGACAACCAGTCAATATTTAGGTCACCCAGAAAATATACCTTTCTGTTGATATCACATACATTATCCAACATTTCACACATAGTCCAAATACTGACTTTTAGCACTTGGTGGTCTATAGCAACTTCCTACGAGAATAGCCTTTAGGTGAGGCAGAGAGAACCTGTAGCCATTTATTTCCACATCATCTGACATGAGATCCTCTCTCAGCCTAACAGGAATATGACTCTGGACATTCATGGCAACGCCACCTCCATTTGCCTTTCTATCTTTCCTATATATTCTATAACCATGTATAGCAACTATTGCATCATCAAATTAAGTGTGACCGAAAAGAGCTTCTGGCCATCAGAACAGCTATCATTAACCTCGCTTTGGATGAAGAATTCTACTTCAATTACTCGGCCGCGCTGGACATACTGCTCACCGGGACCAGGCCCTAATCCCTGACCCTCGGAAGAGGAAAAGACACCGATGTAGAGGCCGACGTGGGAGCACTGTGATCTAACTACGGTGACTAGTAAATAAACCGCCTCTACCCTCTGTTCTATTGGTGAACGTACAATCATTGGCAAACAAACTTGATGAGCTCCATTCGAGACGGAGTTGTGGCTGAACAAGGACATGGTTAATACAAATCTAGCTGGTTTTTCTATACATCGGCAGGACAGAACGGCAGCATCTCATAAACTCAAGGGTGGGGTTGTGTGTCTCTTTGTTAACAACAGCTGGTGCGCGATCTCTAATATTAAGGAGGTCTCAAGGTTCTGCTCGCCTGAGTTAGAACACCTCATTTCGTAGCTGTCTATTTACCACCACAAACCGATGCAGGCACTAAGACCGCACTCATCGACCTATATAGGGCCATAAGCCAACAAGAAAATGCTCTACCAGCATGTCACCTGTGCAACTAAAGGGGAAAGAAACTGTAAATCACCTTTACTCCGCGCACAGAGACGCATACAAAGCTCTCCCTCGCCATACATTTGGAAAATCTGACCATAACTCTATCCTCCTGATTACTGCTTACAATCAAAAACTCAAACAGGAAGTACCAGTGACACACTCAATTCAGAATTGGTCCGATGAAACGGATGCTAAGCTACAGGACTGTTTCGCTAGCACAGACTGGTATATGTTCCGGGATTTATCTGATGGCATGGATGAGTTTACCACATCAGTCACCAGCTTCATTAATAAGTGCATCGACGACGTTGTCCCCACAGTGACCATACGTACATACCCCAACCAGAAGCCATGGATTACAGGCAACATCCGCACTGAGCTAAAGGCTAGAGCTGCCGCTTTCAAGGAGTGGTACACTAACCCGGACGCTTATAAGAAATCCCGCTACGCCCTCCGACGAACCATCAAACAGGTAAAGCATCAATATAGGACTAAGGTTGAATCCTACCACACCGGCTCTGACGCTCGTCGGATGTGGCAGGGCTTGCAAACTCTTACGGATTACAAAGGGAAACCCAGCCACGAGCCGCCCAGTGACACAAGCCTACCAGATGAGCTAAATGCCTTCTATGCTCGATTCGAGGCAAGCAACACTGAACCATGCTTGAGCGCACCAGCTGTTCTGGATGACTATGTGATCACGCTCTCCGGAGCCGATGTAAGACCTTTAAACAGGTCAACATTCACAAGGCCGCAGACTGATTAACAAGACGCATACTCAGAGCATGCGCTACCCGGCTGGCAAGTGTCTTCACTGACATTTTCAACCTCTCCCTAACCCAGTCTGTAATAACTACATGTTTCAAGCAGATCATCATAGCCCCTGTGCCCAAGAACGCCAAGGTAACCTGTCTAAATTACTATTATTAGCACTCACATCTGTAGCCATAAAATGCTTTGAAAGGCTGGTCATGGCTCACATCAACACCATCATCCCAGACACCCTGGACACACTCCAATTCGCATAACGCCTCAACAGATCCACAGATGACGCAATCTCTATTGCACTCCACACTGCCTTTTCCCACTTGGACAAAAGGAACACCTACATGATAATGCTGTTCATTGACTACAGCTCAGCATTCAAACCATAGTGCCCTTGAAGCTCATCACTAAGCTAAGGTCCCTGGAATTAACACCTCCCTCTGCAACTGGATCCTGGACTTCCTGACGGGCCGCCCCCAGGTGGTGAGGGTAGGCAACAACACATCCTCCACGCTGACCCTCAAAATGGTGCCCTCTCAGGGGTGCGTGCTTAGACCCCTCCTGTACTCCCTGTTCACCCACGGCTGCGTGGCTGCACACGACTCCAACACCTTCATTAAGTTTGCCAACAGCACGACGGTGGTAGGCCTGATCACCAATGACGATGAGACAGCCTATAGGGAGGTCAGAGACCTGGAAGTGTGGTGCCAGGACAACAACATCTCCCTCAATGTCAGTAAGACAAAGGAACTGATCGTGGAATATACTGTGTATTTATTCCTCGTGTCAGTTTCTATCTTATCTTTAACTCTGCATTGTTGGAAAAGGACCCGTAAGATAAGCATTTCACTGTTAGTCTACACCTGTTGTCTACGAAGCATGTGACAAATACAATTTGATTCGATGCCATGTTGTCCTTTCCATCAGGTTTTGTTTTCATATGTCCAATTGAGTAGAGTCTCCCTCTCTGTTTTCTTCACTTTGGGTTAGGCTTCTCACACAAGCAATAGTGAATATTTCACACTCCATAGCTTGAAGCTGCTCTTCCTCCTGACTGGTCCTGAGTTCCTCCTGTTCCTTTTTTAATATGTGTGGGATCTGGGTCCTCCTGCCCCAGACTGGGGCTCCACTCCTGTTCACGGTGCTGCTGCCCAGAGGAAACCTCCTCTTCAGAGACTGGGGGAGTGAGTTGCTGGGGGTCTGAAAAGGAAATATAGCAGCCTATAAATCAAGGAATAATTTGTGATATTTCAATCTGACATGGTTTCCGTAGTTATCTGTATGTACCTTGAGATTCAAGAAAAAATACTACTAGCTAGAACATATACAGAGCTAACAGTCCTACCAAAGATACTTATATATCCTAACTACTACTAGCTATTGTTCATGCAGATAGCTAGCTAGGCTAACATTGGTGAATCCGTTGCTGATTAGACAGTCGATCTGATTTCATTATTCTTTTAACAAAACGTTGTCTGATTTATGTTATATTTAGCTAGTTGATACAAACCTGTCCTCTTTTCGCAGTTGATTAGGCCCCGAGTGCTGTTTTCTGGTTATGGTGACTTAATTGCACACATGACTGGAAGTGAGAACTGAACAAATTGTTTGACTTGGTCAGTGCTATTAGGGACCCCTAAACTTAACCATAACCCTTAATCTTTTAAATTAACGGGAAGGGACGTCCCAAGGATCCAGATAGCATGGACTTGTGGCGTGATTGTGTGTTCTCATTCTATATCTAAATCTCAGCAGGCCTTGCAACATGCCTTATCTCTCCATGTAGGCCTAGACTGTGAACTGAATCTCTATCTGGCTCCCCAAACTGGATGACGGACCAACATTTTTTGACTATTATAAGAATCCATGGTAAAACTCCCTCCAGGCCATGGTATGCCCATGCCTCAAGAGTACACACTTAATGTTGAAGGGTAGTGAATCAGACCACAGCACAGCCCCACTATGTGCCAAATGTTCTATACCATCATTCAGGTTAAGCTACCTACCATGTGTGTAGTATGCCTTTGACTCGTATCCAATATCCTTGTTTCATGGTTCAAAAACGTCACTTACCGTTGTCAAATGTAACCATACGTGTACATTGTTTTAAATGTGAAACAAGATATGGCCTTGCAATCATGATCAATTAAATTATTTAAACCATGTCATTACTTTTGTGATGGTTATATGTATCTAAATTCCTCTAGCTGTTCTACACTGTGTCCATATTCTATTCTAGCACCACTTCATAAATACATCCAATGCATGTCCCCAAACAACCGTTCACTAGAGGGAGAGACCTCTGGGACTGACATGACATGATTAATTGCAAACAGCTTAAAGAGCACAAACCATTTAATAAATGTTACCCTTTTCTGAATTCTTATATTACAAAGAAACAATATCTGCAATACCCACATGTAGCCATCTGAAATCACACAGATATTTAATGGTACATCATGTGTATAGTAAAACAGGTGTTGAATTTCAGTTAAGGAAGTAAGTTGACATTCCAAATCACTAATAGAAAATTACTTATTGAAACGAAATGGCAATGTCCATTCTTCAGTTGGGATTTTGAACACTAGTGAAGGTAATTTGCTTCAGTGGAGGTGCAGAGTAATGCAGTCATTCATTACATTACTGTGATAAACATCTGTTGTGTTGAGGGAAGGCACATTATGTTGAGTTCACAGAATGTTTTCTAATCAGACAATGGAAACTCAGATGTTGGTTCACTGATAGAGGAGTAATGGTGCTGCTGGTAGGTTCCTCAAACCTGGGTTGTATTCATTAGTGCACACCGTTTCAAGACGTAGCAAAACTCAAATAAGCGTTTCTTATTGGAAAAGTTCAGGCAGTCCCGCCCCGTGTCAGTCAGTTCTCTTCCATTTGGGGTCTAGTGAATACCACCCTGTTGTTGGACACTCCGGCTGCATCTCAGTAGTCTACAGTGGCTTCCTCAGTTTGTCTCCTCTCCATCTGAACTGATCTGGAAACTGGTGATGTCATAGGCTAGCTGTGCACAGCAGTCTGATTGGTGGACGTTGACATGGAGGCCTAGGATTTGCCAGCTTTGCCCCCCCGGCTCCTCCCCCCAGTGTAGCGGAAACTCTTCAAGGGGTTCTTGCCTCGGAAGTCCTTCTAGGAAGAAAAGGATGGGATGAGATGGGTTTAGATGGACCAGAGTATCCATTCCAGTTTTGAATATAAATGCTTGCTTATTGTTTGCTGCTCCCAGTGTGAAGGAAATAATGGGGAAAAAAGCTAATGGAATGTCTGCAAGCTGTTTGCTACTCCCCAGTGTGGTCCTTGTTGAGCTAGGTTAGGGTTAGGGCTAGGGCTTATGCTAGGGTTAGTTAGGAAGGAGACTTACCTTGAAGGTTGTCTTGACGACGCCATCAGGTTTGGGCTTCTCTCTCCTCCTCCTCTTCCTGCCGGACATTGGGTTGGCCACTCCCCTCAGCGTCGGAGGGACTGAAACGGCCAATGAGAAATTGTTTACATTTACCATAATCTGAGTGTAAGGTTGAAAACCATTATTGATAAGAGAGAGGTCACTAAGCAGTGTGTGTGTGTCTTACTGAGGTATTCTGGTACGTTCTTCAGGTGTGGTTTGATGACAGCAGGGTGCAGGTCTTTATCATGCCTCAGCAGCTGCAGGTCTCGGGGGTTGTCCTCAAAGTACGTCTGAGTGACAGAACAACTGACCAATCAGTGCCATGGAAAAGGAAGAGAACCAGAAAGTGGAGAAGGAGAGAGAGAGAAGCCCACTCACCTTGAGTTTCTCTGAGTTGAGCAGCTCCTGTTTGATCTCTTTCAGTCTGGCCTCCCTCACCGCCTGCTTAGTTACCGACCGCATGGCATCCTACAAACACACACATTTATTCATACAAAATCCAAACTCATATACTACCTGGTGTGAAGTAGAGGTCTGCGCGGGACTGATTTATTCATCCAGCTCCCGCCCACAGCTTTTCATACCGCACCTGCCCACACCCGCTGTCTTTCTGTCCGACTCCCACCCGCTACCGTCAAGAACTGGTCCCGAACCCAACCGCAGTCCCGCAATGTTATTTTAGGGTAATGTGACGCAGCTCACTCGCCAGCCATGGTCACTGCAATTTTGCGTACTATAGGCAATATCAAAATGCACTAAAATAACTTAAGTAATAGGTTAAATTACCAGACATTCTCACATGGCCCAGTATATTAGGCTATCGGTATTACTGGGCTATATCAGCCATTAGGCTAGACATTGTTTGGAGAGAGCAGAGTTGGAGACTTGCACTTTCTCTTGAGCTACGTTTTATAGCCTACCTTTTAGGAGCAGGACGATTATCAGACGGAGACAAATATGGGTGATCAATATTTATTTCTAGGCAATGTATTAAACTATAGCCTAATCATATTTAGGAAGTACACTTCCTTGGAAAGATAACTGCTCCGTGCTTCTCCGCCCATCCATAGGCTATAGTCTACCGTATTTTCCGCACTATAAGGCGCACCGGAGTATAAGCCGCAGCAGCTAAATTGAATGATGTGTCCATATATAAGCCGCACTGGACTATAAACCGCAGGTGTTTTAATGTTTAATTACCATATGTAAGGGTTCGTGCACAGAGGGGATTGTCGGGAAAGAGACAAACTGTCTCGCTCTCGTAATGTCTGTCTGTCTTGCTCTCGTTCTGTCTCTCGTACCACTCTCGGTTCCACTTTTACGCGCTACCTGTCTCACTCTTTTCCGGCCTCCAGCTTTTCCTGCTGGAGCCCGCCGCTTAAAGGTGGGGGGCGCGGACCGGTCATAGAGCCCATAGAGTTAAAGTTGGTGGACTGTAACCTGTAAAATCCATAGATTTAGGAGGTCTTCTAGTGGCCGTTAGCTGTAAAAATCCATAGATTAGCCGCACCGTTATATAAGCCGCAGGGTCGAAAAATTGGAAAAAAGCGGGCTTATAGTCCGAAAATTACGGTACTCTATTTAATTGAGACCTCACGCGCACCTGATCTCGCAGCTACTGAACTGGAAGCAGCAATAATGATGACAGCGACACTTGCTACGTTTTGCATAGTCCTCTAGGTTATAGGCTAACTTTTAGGAGGACGATTTGCAGGCAGAGACAAATGGGTCATTTGTATGAAAATGAAAAGGTGCGTCGCTCACCATGGTATCCTATATGCACGTGTTGCGCCTTTTCCATTATGCAATTTTTGGATTGCACCTCCACTCACGTTGGTTGAGCACCCTCCACTTCTTTCCATTATCAATATTTATTTACAGACACTGTAGTAAACTACAGTCTAATCATATTTAACGACATTTCCTTGGAAAGATAACTGCCACGTGATTCTCCACCCATGCAAATGGAAGCCTACTCTCTTTCATTGAGACCACACATATACTAGGCGCACTTGATCTCGCACGCCCAACTAGGAGAGGAAGGCTACATAACCTAAGCAGCGAATTCTGAGTGTGTGCGAATAATGCTACAAAAATGTGCTTGTAATACAATAGGTAGGCTATCTCATACAAAGCAGAAAGACGACCGTTTCCAAAGTTGTCTGTCTGACCGCCTGCTCCCAACCGCAGAATGAAAAATCCCGACCGCGCCGCAACGATCTCTGTTGGGACCCGCAGCCCTCTAGTGAGAGGTGAACAGGTGTGCTATAACATCACAGGTGTACTGAACGTACCCGACAGCGGTATCTGAAGCCCTCGATCTCCTCCATCTTAAACCCGTACGGCTTCAGAGCACACTCAGCGTTATCTGAAACACACAGAGACTACCATTACATCCACACAGAGAATAGGTCTGTCACAAACACAGACTACATCAGATAGAAACAAACAGTGCCTCAGCGTACCTCCTCTGAGTGCATCCTCCACCTCTGCCAGTAGGGGGAGCTCTGTGTGTGAGATGAAGGTGAGAGCGGTGCCTGGGTTGTCTGCTCGTGCCGTTCTACAGAAGAAGAAGGAGAGGTTGAATTGTTGAGCTTTATCCTTTGAGCCGAGAGCTCAGGGGCAAATTTCTAATGACACCCTCTTCTAGAGCTCTGGTCAAAAGTAGTGCACTACAGGAGGAATAGGGTGTGATTTGAGATGCAACCTTCCGGTGTTATTTTTAGAGGTGCAGCCCAAGGCTTGTTTCCATCTTCAACTGGCAATAAAATGGTATTCTGTTATGTTGACACTGACCGTCCAACGCGGTGGATGTAGGACTCCACGGTGGTGGGGAAGTCAAAGTTGATGACGTTGGAGACATTCTGGAAGTCGATTCCTCTGGAGACGCCGTACTCCTTGTCTTTGACTCTGTGGGGGTCAGGAGTGAGGTCAAGGGTCATTGTACCATCACCTGGGGTGTATTAACTATGAACCAAACCAAATGGGGAGGGACCTAACTGAATTTGTCCAATAGAAACTCTTTGTTTTCGTTGCAAAACGTTTTCCATTGCGAAACATTTTGCTACGGTGTGCAGTAATGATTACACCCCTGCATTATTGCAGAGTTGAAGAACAGCTTCCTAACTGAGTGGCTCCTTCTCTGCTACAATGAACAGCTTCAGTCCAACTGGGCACAAACAGTATCATTTCAACTGGATAAGTATCTAAAATGACCAAATGCTAAATGACTAAATTGTATGCTGCAGTATCCCATACCTCCCTGCTTACCCTGCATTCTTCTTCTTCTTCTTCTTCTTCTTCTTCCCTTTCCCCTCGGCGGCCTGCGCTGAGGTGGTGGGATCAGCCAATACCTGCTCGTCTGTGGCGATGATGTAATCATAGAACCCCTGGTTAAACTGGGTGATGATGTGACATCTGAGGAGAGGGAGAGAGAGCAGGACAAAGAAAGAGTGTTCAGATTTTGATTGACATCCATCTATTTATCCATCAACACCCACATCCTTCCTTCCCACCCTCTCTCCTCACCTGGAGTGGACAGGCAGCTCAGAGTTGAGTACACAGGCAGGGATGCTGAACTGTTCCAGGAACAGTTTGAGTCTGTAGCACCTTTCCACTGCCCCAACAAACACCAGGGTCTTGCCCTGAACCAGGCGCAGTTTCAACAGGGTGTAGATGAGCAGGAACTTTTCCTCCTCCTCACACTGAACACTGTACTGCTGCAGCTGGGAGCTGTCTGGCAGCTGGGAGCCCTGCAGCTTTAGAATCACCTAGGACACACACATACTGTATGAGAGGAATTCCTACAGAAAATATACTATTAAAGCAGGGCTGTGTTCAGTAGGGCACACTGTAGAAAAATGGTTTGAAAAGGAAAACTAAAAAGAGCACTACTCTTGTGTGTGTCTTACAGGATTGTGCAGCAGCAGCTCCTTCAGGGCCTGAACATCCTCACTGAGAGTAGCTGACATCAGGAAGGACTGGTAGATCTTTGGCAGGTGGCTGACGGAATGACACACACAAATTTACAAAAAGGTACATGGGAAAGGGACACTCCCTCTAACCAGGTTTCCATCCAACCTTTTTAAGCAAGTAAAGTCAATGTCACGACCGGCCTGATGGAAACAGGACATTTGTCAACTTTCCAAATGGCGACAAAACAAAATTACCCTAGGCTAGGCGGGATCTTTTTGTTTCTGTAAAAATAATTATGCGAGAAATTGCAATGGAAACCCATTTATGCGCAAATATTGATATAATAACCATCATATCGAAGTTAACTCGGAGTCACGCAATGATATGGTGTGTGGTCTTCCCACTACGACTCGGGACAGCATGCAGTTTATTAGGCTACAGATTAAATAATTTATGATGAACTTCACAGGGTGGTGAAAGTGCACGGTGATAAGGTTGATGCTCCTTTCAAATTAATATTGACGGTGTTATTCTGATGGCATGATTGGCTGCCATTTGACAAATACAAATAATCTAGCTCTTATCCATAATAATCTCATCATGTAGGTAGCCTACCCCCACTGTATGTGCAAGCTATTGGCTAGAGCGCACCTGCCAAGACCAGAGTGGGTACATTTGCTATACAATGCAACATGTGTTGTGACAAAACCATCAGTAGAGTTAAAAATGCCATGGATAGCCATGTAACTTGTATGTTTTGGTCGGTACAAGGGAATTTAACCGGAAAAGTTATTTTTATGTGCACTACGTCATCACGCACAGCCTTTTATCCGCAACAAGTCAATTTAATGGAAACATCTATGGTGGGAAAATGAGCATATTGATTTTAGAATATTGACATAAATATTTCGCCAATTGGATGGAAACCTAGCACATTTCAACATAACCACTCACACTACTCCATTATAGTCCATTATAGATTAGTGACACTACCAGTGTGTGTACGTCTCGCCGTCTTACCACAGCAGGCTCTTGAGGTCGGCCTCAAAGCCGAAGGAGAAGAGCAGGTCAGCCTCATCTATGACCAGGGTCTCCAGGGAGGCCTGCAGGTCTAGGCTCTGGGCACTGAGGTGGGCCAGCACCCTAGAGGGGGTCCCCACTACCACGTCTGGCTTCTCCATCAGGATGGGCCTGTATTGATACACACACACTTATTAGTAGGTGCAGGCACACACACAAGCATAAAGAAAACACATCCTTCTTCCCAGGCTTTAATACGCAGACCAGAACAATGTATTCTGTAACAATATATGTTAGATGATGACAGTTGAGCAAACTGACCTCTGGGCAGACAGGTCAGCCTTGCCGGAGATGTCTGCCACCCTTACGTCCCTGGCACAGTAGGCAGTCAGCTGGCGGATCATGGCCTGTACCTGCTGCCCCAGCTCCTTGGTAGGAACCAGGATCAACGCTCTCACTGCCTGCTCACGGACATTCTGGAGAGAACACACACACACGCAAGGTTCAAGCTGTTCCCCTCGCTACATCACCTACTACTAAGATTACTACTGCTTAGTCTTAGCCCAATTGAAGGGCTATGCCACTACTACCAGAGATGGTCTAACGCACAGGTGTCAAACTCATTCCATGGAGGGCCAACTCAGAGTGTCTTTGGGTTTCCACTCCTCCCTTGTACTTGATTGATCAAAGATTGATAAATTAAGGTCACTGGTTAGATAGGAACTCCACTCACCTGGTTGTTCAGGTCTTAATTGGACACTCCCGCCTCTATGAATCCGAGAGTGGAAAACTCTAACGTGTAGGCTCACTTTTTGTGAACAGTCCCATAACAAGTCAGACTTCATTTGAACGTACATGACCTGTTGTTCTCTGATTTTGTCCTTATGTAGGAGGTAATTTGAGACAAAATATCCAGAGAGTAGTGTTATTAACACTACTTTCAGTATGCTAGTCTGTATATCAGTTTGTATTTCCGGTTTGTATTTTCAATGCAAACGCAATTTGCACTTGACTTGCACAATATGTCAACGATTGCCAAGTTTAACTGAAGCACAGACCAAATGTTGTCCCATGCAATCAGCTGGCAAATTTCACAAGCACCTCCAGATGATTGCAAAGGAACGCGCTTTGGTCAACAACGTTCAGTTACATGCAGTTATTGTGCGTCAAGTGAAACGTGTCAGGAGATTGTAAATACAAGCAAGAACCTACAGGCACTGCAAAAAGTTAGGTAAACAACACTTTCCTGTGGATAAAAATTTACCAACAGCACAGACAACCAGTAAAGTACATTTAAATATAATTGTATTCAACATTCTGGTTTATAGAAACTATTACATATTTTTTTTACGGCTTCTTTCAGACTGATAGCCATGGAGTAACCATGGTAACAGTGATGTTTAGACAGACACACCACCCTCCATCCAATGAGTTTGACACCTCTGGTCTAATGTTATAAGCCCCTTGATATGGCCTTTGCTGCTACTACTACTTCTCACTTGTTTGGATGTCAAGATGCGCTGGATGACTGGCACGGCATAAGCAGCTGTTTTCCCTGAGCCAGTCCTGGCGCGGGCTAGAAGGTCCTTGCCTTCCAGAGCCAGAGGGATGGCTTTCTCCTGGATCAATGTGGGCTGAGCCCAGCCCAAGTCCGCCAGCGCCTAGGTGTGTGAAAAAATAAGTGTGTTGGTTAGCTTACTAGCTACGAAATCATATCAGCACAAGTGACGTTATATAATCTCATTCGTTTATTTCTGAAATATTCATCATGACAATTTATTGAATGTGATTATTTAAATAACATCTAGATAACTAGCTACATATCGAACTAACTTAGTTACATAGCTAACTAGGTCAATTATACGTCCCATTTAATCTTGAATAAGTTAATATCCAGACAGATTGACACCAAAGTAAACACTTTCACATGCTAGCTAACAGTTAGCTAACATTAGCGAGGTAGGTTAGCTATCTTAGCAGCGTTCCGTGTCTACTGACGTATGGTTCTGTCAGTTTTATATCACAATTGAGGTAATGCAGTTCAACAATTAATTTATCCTCATATTTTCATAGGAGAGAATAACATCTACCTTTAAAATGCGATCGTCTAAGCCCATTTCATGGAACTGCAGCCTGTCGGTGGTAGCCATCTCGTCTCTACTGCTTCCACCAGGCTTCCACACGTGTGTATGTCGCTTGAATTCTACGTCATTCATCACTTGAACACAGTGACGCGTATTTATTTTATTTTATTTTATGAAAGGCAGCATTATTTCCGTCAGCTAATACAGTTTCGAATCTATATTTCGGCCGTTTTTAATTAGTTGAAATATTTACAAATCACGTATGCAATCATAGAGAAAATAGATTATTATACCACAACTCAACTTTGTAAAGACCAATAGACTCTGGATGGCGATATTAGACTACTTTTCCTAAAAAGCACATGTTTTATATCTCGGCACATAATGTACCTTTCTGAAGGCACAAGCTACGGGGCACGAACGCAGAATTTTCTCTCTCAAAATAAATCCCCTGCAAAGACATGCTACATTTAGGGAATATTTTTTTATTTTATTTTTGGGGGGGGGGGGGGGGGGGGGCACTAGTGCTGTGCAACTGTTTTTCACAGCATTGCAACCACCTTTGAAAATCTAAATGAATAATTTCACGTATTTAGGTCTGCACAAGCAATGCAATACACTGTTAATGGGATACTTACTGGGTTGTAGAGAAAAAACTGTACTACCTGTCTCATAAACTGGGGGTGTGAAATACTCAGTAGGGTCTCTAGTAATCAAATATAGTTTTGGGGGACTATGTCACACTACCTGCTGCTGGCTTTTCACTCCGCCAATCCATAGCCCCCAATAAAATACTCTATATATGGGACACATATTGGCTTGTAGAGAGAACTGTTCTACCGATCTCAGCTAAAGTGGGGTGGAAAATACAAAGTAGGGTCTCTACTCTCTACTAACCAAATAGTTCGTTTGGAGGTTGACTGTGTCGTACATATCCACCCCCTACATAGCCACAAATGCAATACACTAATACACGTTGCGTGTAGAGAGAACTATTCTACCTGTCTCAGCTAGTGGGTGGGAAATACTCAGTAGGGTCTCTACTCTCTACTAACCAAATAGTTAGATTTTGAGGGGGACTGTGTCGTACATATCCAGCAACACAGCTTTAAATGACCTGGTACTATCCATGGTCCTGAAATCAATACACACTCAAAAAATAAAAGAAACACAAAACCCCAACTTTTTTTTACCAAAACGAAAATCTCATTTATTTACTAGTTAAATGTAATGAATATTAACCAGGCTATTAGGGCACAGTATAATCACGCTTTCTGAACAGGAATAGAGAAAATGATTTACAAGTTGTAGGCCGATATGTGCTGCTTATCTATCAAGGTTTGCAGTATAGAGTAAAGGCATAGGCCTATTACCTAGTTTGCTACCCAGCAATTGGAAGGGAGATCGTAAGGAGCACAAGTTAAAACAAGCATTATTTTCCAATCAATCCACTAGTAAAGTATAAAACTGGTGAAAAGTAGTAATGGCGCCGGAGGAGATGGCTGCCGTTTTACTGGCTCCTAACCAATTGTGCTATTTTGTGTGTTTTTTCGTGTTGTTTGTAACTTATTTTGTACATTTCTGCCACAGTCTCTTATGACTGAAAATACATTATGGATATCCGAACAGCGATTACTTACCTCAAACTGGACGAAGATTTTTTCTTTAACGAGTTGGACGCGAAGGATTTACTGCTGATACCGGACCAGGTCCAAATCCCTTCATTCGCATGAAGAAGAGATGCCGATACAGGGGACGCAGGTCCGGGTGCAATGTGAGAATTCGTGGGCGAGTGGGTAACCCGCCTCTACCATCCGTCCTATTGGCCAACGTGCAATCATTAGAGAATAAACTGGATGAGCTCCGTTCAAGACTATCCTACCAACGGGACATTAAAAACTGTAATATCTTATGTTTCACTGAGTCGTGGCTGAACGACGACATGGATAATATACAGTTGGCTGGGTTTTCCGTGCATCGGCAAGACAGAACAGCAGCCTCCGGTAAGACAAGGGGTGGAGGTCTGTCTCTATTTGTCAATAACAGCTGGTGCGCAAAATATTAAGGTAGTCCCAAGGTTTTGCTCGCCTGAGGTAGAGTACCTCATGATAAGCTGTAGACCACACTATTTATCAAGAGAGTTTTCATCTATAATTTTTGTAGCTGTCTATTTACCACCACAAACCGATGCTGGCACTAAGACCTCACTCAACGAGCTGTATAAAGCCATAAGCAAACAAGAAAATGCTCATCCAGAGGCGGTGCGCCTAGTGGCCGGGGACTTTAATGCAGAGAACCTTAATTCCATTTTACCTAATTTCTACCAGCATTTTACATGTGCAACCAGAGGAAAAACAACTCTAGACCACCTTTACTCCACACACAGAGACGCGTACAAAGCTCTCCCTCTCCCTCCATTTGGCAAATCTGACCATAATTTTATCCTCCTGATTCCTGCTTACAAGCAAAACTAAAGCAGGAAGTACCAGTGACTCGCTCAATACGGAAGTGGTCAGATGACACAGATGCTAAGCTACCGGGCTGTTTTGCTAGCACAGTCTGGAATATGATCCGGGATTCATCCGATGGCATTGAGGAGTATACGACATCAGTCACCGGCTTCATCAATAAGTGCATCGATGACATCGTCCCCACAGTGACCGTACGTACATACCACAACCAGAAGCCATGGATTACAGGCAACATCCACACTGAGCTAAAGGCTAGAGCTGCCAATTTCAAGGAGTAGGACTCTAACCCGGACGCTTATAAGAAAACGTCAATAAAGGACTAAGATTGGATCCTACTGCACCGGCTCCGACTCTCGTCTTATGTGGCAGGGCTTCCAAACTATTACGGATTACAAAGGGAAGCCCAGCCGAGAGCTGCCCAGTGACATGAGCCTACCAGACGAGCTGAATGACTTCTATGCCCGCTTCGAGGCAAGCAACACTGAAGCATGCATGAGAGCACCAGCTGTTCTGGACGACTGTGTGATCACGCTCTCCATAGCCAATGTGAGTAAGACCTTTAAATAGGTCAACATTCACAAGGCCGCAGGAACAGATGGATTACCAGGACGTGTACTCCGAGCATGCGCTGACGAACTGGCAAGTAACTTCACTGACATTTTCAACCTGTCCCTGACCAAGTCTGTAATACCTACATGTTTCAAGCAGACCACCATAGTTCCTGTGCCCAAGAACACCAAGGTAACCTGCCTAAATGACTACCGACCCGTAGCACTCATGTCTGTAGCCATGAAGTGCTTTGAAAGGCTGGTCATGGCTCACATCAACACCATCATCCCAGAAACGCTAGACCCACTCCAATATGCATACTGCCCCAACAGATCCACAGATGATGCAATCTCTATTGCACTCCATACTGCCCTTTCCCACCTGGACAAAAGGAACACCTACGTGAGAATTCTGTTCATTAACTACAGCTCAGCGTTCAACACCATAGTGCCCTCAAAGCTCATCACTAAGCTGACTAAACACCTCCCTCTGCAACTGGATCCTGGACTTCCTAACAGGCCGCCCCCAGGTGGTAAGGGTAGGCAACAACACATGTCACACTGATCCTCAACACAGGGGCACCTCAGGGGTGCGTGCTTAGTCCCCTCCTCTACTCTCTGTTCATCCATGACTGCGTGGCCAAGCACGACTCCAACACCATCATTAAGTTTGCCGACTACACAACGGTGGTAGGCCTGAACACCGACAATGATGAGACAGCCTATAGGGAGGAGGTCAGAGACCTGGCAGTGTGGTGCCAGGACAATAATCTCTCCCTCACCGTGATCAAGACAAAGGAGATGATCGTGGACTACAGGAAAAGGAGGGCCGAGCACGCCCCCATTCTCATCAACAGGGCTGTCGTGGAGCAGGTTGAGAGCTTCAAGTTCCTTGGTGTCCACATTACCAACTAACTATCATGGTCCAAACACACCAAGACAGTCGTGAAGAGGGCACAACAACACCTATTCCCCCTCAGGAGACTGAAAAGATTTGGCATGGGTCCTCAGATCCTCAAAAAGTTCAACAGCTGCACCATCGAGAGCATCCTGACTGGTTGCATCACCACCTGGTATGGCAACCGCTCTGCCTCCGACCGCAAGGCGCTACAGAGGGTAGTGCGTACGGCCCAGTACATCACTGGGGCCAAGCTTCCTGCCATCCAGGACCTCTATACCAGGCGGTGTCAGAGGAAGGCCCTAAAAATTGCGAAAGACTCCAACCACCCTAGTAAACTTCTGGATTGATTGCGACCTGGTTTAATAAAATCGTTGGAATTGGGGTGATATAAAACTATAGAAACATGATTTTACTAGGATACTGTGATTGACCTGATGTATTTTTTGGCACATGTCAAGGCTGGCCATGGGCTGATTTAAATGTGTAAAGGTGCACCCATCACCATCACCATTAGGTTAATCTAGGTCGTTAATAGGTATAACAGTCAGTCATTGTTTACATTGTGTCTTTGAAGCAACTGCTAATAATCGATATTTGGCACCTCCATCAGGGCAAGGCAAGAGTGCAAATCAATTCTAAAAGCTTTAACAAGAGCAAGGTATTGTGTTTCATTTGAAAACAGCAGAATATTTCAGTTTTTTTTTTAGATTGGTAAATTAGTCTAGCGGCCAGCTATCTAAACTTGTACCAAGCATGGTCAAATTACTAACTGGGGTGAGGCCCATTGATCATCAGTTATCATATTAAAAACTGCAAACATTTGCCTCCACCCAGGGTAGGGGAGGGAACAGCCGGCAGGGATGTAGCTCAGTTGGTAGAGCATGGCATTTGCAACGCCAGGGTTGTGGGTTCGATTCCCATGGGGGGCCAGTATGAAAAAATAAATAAAATAAAAAATAAAAAATAATAATGTATGGATGTGGGTATGACCCTCATGATGAGTTACGTTTTTTGGGGCCCCCCACCCCATCAAAGTTGCCCATCCCTGCTATAGACCAACGCGTGGCTGGTGCTGTGGTGAGAGAGAGAGAGAGAGAGAAGCTAGCATGTATCTATCACAGAACTAGAATGAGATTTACTTTCTCTCTGCTCTGATAGCAAAAAAAACACCAAACATGCACTGTCATTCTCTGGACACAGCTAGCTAGGTAGCTAAGCTACACTACATTACCAAAAGTATGTGGACACCTGCTTGTCGAACGTCTCATTCCAAAATCATGGGCATTAATATGGAGTTGGTCCCCCCTCTTCTGGGAAGGCTTTCCACTAGATGTTGGAACATTGTTGCAGGGACTTGCTTCCATTTAGCCACAAGAGCATTGGTGAGGTCGGGCACTGATGTTGGGCAATTAGGCCTGGCTCGCAGTCAGCGTTCCAATTCATCCCAAAGATGTTCGATGGGGTTGAGGTCTGGGCTCTGTGCAGGCCAGTCAAGTTCACACCTATCTCGACAAACCATTTCTGTATGGACCTCGCTTTGTGCACAGGGGCATTGTCATGCTGAAACAGGAAAGGGCCTTCCCCAAACTGTTGCCACAAAGTTGGAAGCACAGAATCGTCTAGAATGTCATTGTATGCTGTAGTGTTAAGATTTCCCTTCACAGCCAGAGACCATTATTACTCCTCCACCAAACTGTACAGTTGGCACTATGCATTGGGGCAAGTAGTGTTCTCCTGGCATCCCACTATGCATTGGGGCAGGTAGTGTTCTCCTGGCATCTGCCAAACACTGATTCGTCCGTCGGACTGCCAGATGGTGAAGCGTGATTAATCACTCCAGAGTCCAATGGCGGCGAGCTTCCACTTCACAATAACAGCACTTACAGTTGACTGGGGCAGCTCTAGCAGGGCAGGAATTTGACGAACTGACTTGTTGGAAAGGTGGCATCCTATGATGATGCCACGTTGAAAGTCACTGATCTCTTCAGTAAGGCTATTCTACTGCCAGTGTTTGTCTATGGAGATTGCATGGCTGTGTGCTCGATTTTATACACCTGTCAGCAACAGGTGTGGCTGAAATAGCCAAATCCACTAATTTGAAAGGGTGTCCACATACTTTTGTATATATAGTGTAGCTATACATCTGTAATTATGAATTCGATTTGGAAAAAGGAGCAAATTAGCTAGCTAGTAAAGGTCCTCCTTGCAATCCTCTGGCTAGCTACGGGCCAGAAGGTTGAGGGTTCACCGACCACCACAGAGGAACACACTCTCCCTGCCTGTTTCATTACTGTCACGTCTCCTCCCGTTTCTCCCCTCCGGCGCTCTGATTCGCCGGTCTACTGTGCCACCCGTCTGAGCGCACCACCTCGGCAACACCGGAATGGAAACCCAACGCACCCTAATCACCTCCAGCGCACCTGCACCTCATCATCTCATCACCACCCCTATTTAGCCCTGGACTGTTCTGGATGATGTTGTGTGTGATTGTTTAGCTTTGTGTCATTTACTCTATCTTTGTTATTTCTCTTTGTCATTGTTAAGTAAACCTTGACCTTGTTAATTCCTGCATCAGCGTCCTGCCTCTTCGTATACTCAGTACTCGTCACAGTTGGGCAACACTGGACTAGAGCTACCCCCACTTCTGACACCTGTCAATCAACTGGATTGACAGCTTTTCTCCCTCGCAGGCTCTCTCCTTCCCCCTCCCACAGTCCTGTCTCTAATACATAGGCCCAGTCCAGCCCGAGCCCAACCAACACACACACTGAGAGAGAGGGCGCAGAATAAGGCACTCACACACACTCACCTGCCCACTCACCACCTGTGTGTCTTGTTTGCCCAATGGACTGTGTGTGTGTGTGTGTGTGTGTGTGTGTGTGTGTGTGTGTGTGTGTGTGTGTGTGTGTGTGTGTGTGTGTGTGTGTCACAGGTGCTGCTGTTGTCCATGGCCAGTTCAGAGGATCTGTACAGACGGTGCTGTAGGCTGTATGATCAGACAGAACCACAGGAGAGCGCTGTGCACCCTGCCTTTCTCATCAAGGTGAGGACGGTTACGTTGTAACTGGGTACAACCCACTATTCACCTCAACTATAATAAGCACTTCATCTTTCTCTCCTCTCCCCCTTCTTTGTCAGTTACTGTTGGGGGACGTGGGGGGGAAGTTTCAGGTTCTGGGGGGTCCGTGGTGTCCTGACACAGACGGAGATGGTCCCAGTCTGCTGAAGGACCCTCAGGCACTGCTGAGGACCGCCCTGCACTGCATGCTGGACTGGACCTCAGCGCCTGCTCCCAGTGGTCAGTATACACACACATGTTCACGGTCAGTCACACACACACACCACACAAGCACATGTTCATGTTCATGCTCACACACTGAGGATGTTAAATTAATCTGGCCCAGGAAGGCATGTTTTGCACTGGGTGAAAGATGATTGCGTTCTTTTTGGAACCGAGCTGCCTCCTGTTCAAAGCCCAAGGTGAAGTCGGCTCAAAACAAAAGCGACGTAATTAAGCACGTTGAGTATTGAGTAGGATTCTGTGTTTTCACACGCAAAAGTGGTTGATTTTGATTTTTAAAAAAGCTTTATCTGCAATCCCAATGAAAACTAGTTTGAAAATTTAACAGTGGTGGAAAAAGTACCCAATTGTCATACTTGAGTAAAAGTAAAGATACCTTAATAGAAAATCACTCAAGTTAAAGTGAATGTCACCCAGTAAAATACTACTTGAGTAAAAGTCTAAAAGTATTTAGTTTTAAATATACTTAAGTATCAAAAGTAAATGTAATCGCAAAAATATACTTCAGTATCAAAATTAAAAGTACAATACAAATCATTTCAAATTCCTTATATTAAGCAAATTATTACAGATAGCCAGGGGCACACTCCAACACTCAGACATAATTTACAAACGAAGCATTTGTGTTTAGTGAGTCCGCCAGATCAGAGGCAGTAGGGATGACCAGGGAGGTTCTCTTAATAAGTATGTGAATTAGACCACATTTTCCTGCCCTGCTAAGCATTCAAAATGTAACGAGTACTTTTGGGTGTCAGTGAAAATGTATGGAGTAAAAAGTTGTAGTAAAAATTTCTTTTTTAGGAATGTAGTGAAGTAAAAGTGAAAGTTGTCAAAAATAGTAAAGTAAAGTACAGATACCCAAAAAAACTACATAAGTAGTACTTTAAAGTATTTTTACTTAAGTACTTTACACCACTGAAATTCAAACAGATATTTTATGGAAAAGAGATGCACCATGCTGCCTTATTGACAACATGACAGAACAGTGCAGATTTCTGTTTGATTTGAGAAGGGCACTCCTCCCTCAGCGCTTTTGCCCGTTCATGTCACGGGCCATAGACCGGTGCCCCGCGGCTCAGTATAATCAAACTCTCTCAACTCTCACAGATATACACACACACATACACAGGCAGTACAAATGCCTGTTTTGTTTTCCCCTTTTCAACGCTATGTGGTACTCCATTTACAAACCAGTAACAGTGAATTGGAATCAACAACTCCCTCTCTCTCCATCAGGTATAAGATGGCGGAGCTGAGTTATGTGTGTGAGGGGAAGGTGGAAACATTGGTGTTTCTGTTACCTGATGTCTGGCGGATCGTACCTACAGAGGAGGACTGGAACACATTCAGAACTCAACATCAGGATATGTGTGTGACCATGGGTGTGTGTGAGTTCCATCCATATTTTTATTTATTTTACCTTTCTTTAACTGGGCAAGTCTGTTAACAATTCATTCTTTTTACAATGATGGCCTACTCCGGCCAAACCCTTCCCTAACCCGGACGACACTGGGCCAATGGTGAGCCGCTCAATAGGACTCCCGATCACGGCCGGTTGTGATACAGCCCAGGATCGAACCCGGGTCTGTAGTGACGCCTCTAGCACTGCGATGCAGTGCCTAAGACCGCTGCGCATCTTGCCACTCACCACTACATATCATGTAGTAGCCATATCTCGCTGCTGTTCTAAAGCTTTTAGTATGTCTGGTCTCTGTGTGTTTGTGTATCAGGAGGAGGGGGCTCCTCTCCCTGCCAACCTGTGCCTGGTTACGAAGCCTAGTCCTGGGCTAGCCCTCTGCCCCGTCCCCCTCTCCTCTCTCCTGGAGTAGCACACCTCCACAACCAAGGAGGCCTTCGAGGTAAAGTACTCCCCTAGACCACACTGATATGTACTGTACTCATCTGCTTTGGACTAAGTTAATCATCATGATACAAAATAAATTATTATACCCCCCATCTCTCGCTTGCTCTGTCTCGGTCTGTGGACTTGCTGGCAGATTTGTTTTGTGAGATGCTGCAGAGAGACTTTGGTCTTCTGCTCTACCACCTATGCGCGCGCACACACACACACACACACACACACACACACACACACACACACACACACCCATGGTACAGACACACATACACACACAATAAACATGATACATGTATTGTTTTCTAAACCTGCTTTAGTCCTGCTCACTTTATCCTCTAATCTCTTTTTCAGAAGGATGAGTGGATAAAGAAAGACAAAAAGCAGAGAGGGAGGGATGACAGGAGGAGGGAAAGATTTCAGGAAAGAGAAGAGGGAGAGCAGCGGAGGATAGGGAGGAGGAGACTGATGACGATGGAGAAGAGAAACAGAGGAAGAGAGAGAGAGAGCAAGAAAGAAGTGGGTATGAAGATGTTAAAAGACTGGTTTAGGTAAAGTTATATGCCAGAAACTGTGTGTACTAAAATTGCGTTATTTTGTTCTTAATTCTTTTCAGAGATGTTGGGAGCGGAGGGGATAACGTGTGAGAAATCAGACTGCCTCATAAAGCGCAATGTAAGACCCACATACACTACGTCAACACTAGGGTCGCTCAAGAGAGCAAGCTACTATACTTCCTGGTTTCTCATCTCGCTCTCGCTCTCATTTCCACTCTGTAGGTGCTGTCGTGCAGGGTGTTGTTGCCCTGTGTGTTCTTTGACCGACAGCTCACCGGCAGCGTCAGGCGAGCAGACCTTCACAACCTCTTACTGTCACTAGGGCTGTGGCTCACACCCACCAAAGTGCAGGAGTTGTTGAATAAGGTGTGTGTGGAGGGACAATGTCCATACAGGAAGGTAGCCTCTCACTGGGAGGAGCCAAAACAGCCAGAACCTGACATCAGCATGGAAGGCTATGCATTCTCTTATCTAAAATTCCTATGGCCAAGCCTTCTCTGTGTCTATGTGTTAGGTGATTGCCTCAAGGACGTTAAGTGGACATTCCTACGGCCCTAGATCTATGAGATCAGACGTGTTTACACAATCAATTTAATTAAGGAGAAATGGCCTCACTTTTACTGTCCTGCTGGGTGATAACATTGTGAATGGGCCTTACTCGCACCATTATACACACACACGGAGGGAAAGAGAGTGGTGGTCAATAAAGATAAGGATCTGTACTTTACTCTGTTTCTACAAGATAAATATAGTTATTGAATAGATAATGACATAATGGACAAACAGATACTGGGTACATCTACCTTCTTTACATGCCACAGTTTTATGTAGCGTATGTTTTTGTTTGAACCTTTACACAGACACATTCATACAAAGACATTTAACATACACACACACACACACACGTTAAGTCTCTCTCTCTGTGTGTTCAAGTAACCATGGTCTGTTACGTGGAGCTCCAGTGAAGGAGAAGTTGTGTGGCCGGAGGTCTGGAAGGTCAAGGGGGGCAACAACAAGTGTGGGGGCTGAGGTGGTGTCCTACATCCCCAGCCTGCTACAGGCCCTGGAGGCAGCAGACGAGACAACGCAAGCCCTGAGCCTACGCATCGCAGCCATACAGGACACACTGGGTAATACACACACATGTACCTCTCTCTCTTTTCGCTCTCTCTCTCTCTCTCACTCACACATATTATGTTAGACTCTAATTATACATCTTGTTAATGTCATAGACTTAGACTGGCTAACCTTCTTTTCTCTCTCTACCACCTCCCCCTCTTTACCTTTCTTCACCCTCCCTTGCTTATTCTCTGTCTCAGTGGAGGCTGCAGCTGTCACTAATATGCTACTATGGCTCAAATTCGCTAGCCAGGAAGGTCTTAGTTGCAGACTGGAGAAGGCGGCGCTTCGACGCTCGTCCTATAAGAAGCTGAAGGAGGACGCTGGTCACATGATCGCCCTCATCCACAAGATACAGAAAATGGTGGAAAAGGTGAGATGTTATAATGGATAAATAAACAGTCAAATGTAATAACAGAGTGCGTTGCCTCAAAATCCTCAATATGGGTTTGTCTACCACAGACGGCAAGAATGACCCAATCAAAAACAGAGACGGAGGATGAAGATCACTGATTGGTCGGAGCAGAACAGAATGAGCGAGTGACTACACACACATAAATACATTATGTATTTCTCTTTCCAGACTGTCACCACACAGGAGACCATTTCAACACTAGAGCCAAATTATAAAATGAATGAAATGCTACTTATTTCTCAACTTACTCCCTAATTCTGAACACATCAGGAGAGGAAATATTGTTATTTTTATTTCATGATGTTGTAAATGTTACTGCAAACATTCTTCCTTCAACAACTACTTCCATCCATTGGTGAAATGTGATATAGGACGAACAAACCCTTTTGAGTTTGAAAACATTTGCACGTCGTTATCAAGTTATTCTGGTATATCCTGTTGTATGTGTGATTTGACAAGGAAAAAGATTCTGGCCTCAAATATTGGACTAACTTTTCACACAGCAGTGCAGCTACGGGGAGATAGAGCTTCAGCCTTACAGGCTAAGACCAACTAGTCTAGCCTGTTGATGTGGCCGGAAGCCGAGAGTTGTTATGATTCTGAACGGTCAGATATATCTAGCAAAAAATGACAAAAAGCTGCCATGTGGGGAATCATAGGTGGCATTTCAACCCGTTGTATCGTTATTGATACCATGTCTTGTTTTGAGGTGTTTTGAATGATTTCATGTCAATGCTAATATGGCAAAGATTGGCTAGCTAGCTAACCAACAAATGTAACAATGTAATTGAGAGACAAAAAGTGCTCATTGTGCAAACATATTTATGTTTTAGTTAAATATTTGGAGACTAAATATAGTTTACATGTCAAATCAAATCAAATTTAATTTGCAACATGCGCCGAATACAACAGGTGTAGACATTACCGTGAAATGCTTACTTACAGCCCTTAACCAACAATGTATTTATTTTTTAATAAAAAAGTAAAATAAAACAACAACAACAAAAAAGTGTTGAGAAAAAAAGAGCAGAAGTAAAATAAAATAACAGTAGGGAGGCTATATACAGGGGGGTACCGGTGCAGAGTCAATGTGCGGGGGCACTGGCTAGTTGAGGTAGTTGAGGTAATATGTACATGTGGGTAACATGAGTTAAAGTGACTATGCATAAATAATTAACAGAGTAGCAGCAGCGTAAAAATATGGGGTGGGGGTGGGGGGGCAGTGCAAATAGTCCGGGTAGCCATGATTAGCTGTTCAGGAGTCTTATGGCTTGGGGGTAGAAGCTGTTGAGAAGCCTTTTGGACCTAGACTTGGCGCTCCGTTACCGCTTGCCGTGTGGTAGCAGAGAAAACAGTCTATGACTAGGGTGGCTGGAGTCTTTGACAATATTGAGGGCCTTCCTCTGACACCGCCTGGTATAGAAGTCCTGGATGGCAGGAAGCTTGGCCCCAGTGATGTACTGGGCCGTATGCACTACCCTCTGTAGTGCCTTGCGGTCGGAGTCCGAGCAGTTGCCATACCAGGCGGTGATGCAACCAGTCAGGATGCTCTCGATGGTGCAGCTGTATAACATTTTGAGGATCTGAGGACCCATGCCAAATATTTTCAGTCTCCTGAGGGGGAATAGGCTTTGTCGTGCCCTCTTCACGACTGTCTTGGTGTGTTTGGACCATGATAGTTAGTTGGTAATGTGGACACCAAGGAACTTGAAGCTCTCAACCTCTTCCACTACAGCCCCGTCGATGAGAATGGGGGCGTGCTCAGTCCTCTTTTTTTCCCTGTAGTCCACAATCATCTCCTTTGTCTTTGTCACGTTGAGGGAGAGGTTGTTATCCTGGCACCACACGGCCAGGTCTCTGACCTCCTCCCTATAGGCTGTCTCATCGTTTTCGGTGATCAGGCCTACCACTGTTGTGTCGTCGGCAAACTTAATGATGGTGTTGGAGTCGTGCCTGGCCATGCAGTCATGGGTGAACAGGCAGTACAGGAGGGGACTGAGTACGCACCCCTGAGGGGCCCCGTGTTGAAGATCAGCGTGGCAGATGTGTTGTTACCTACCCTTACCACCTGGGGGCGGCCCGTCAGGAAGTCCAGGATCCAGTTGCAGAGGGAGGTGTTTAGTCCCAGGATCCTTAGCTTAGTGATGAGCTTTGAGGGCACTATGGTGTTGAGCGCTGAGCTGTAGTCAATGAATAGCATTCTCACGTAGGTGTTCCTCTTGTGCAGGTGGGAAAGGGCAGTGTGGAGTGCAATAGAGATTGCATCATCTGTGGATCTGTTGGGGCGGTATGCAAATTGGAGTGGGTCTAGGGTTTCTGGGATAATGGTGTTGATGTGGGCCATGACCAGCTTTTCAAAGCACTTCATTGCTACAGACGTCAGTGCTACAGGTCGGTAGTCATTTAGGCAGGATATCTTAGTGTCCTTGGGCACGGGGACTATGGTGGTCTGCTTGAAACATGTTGGTATTACAGACTCAGTCAGGGACATGTTGAAAATGTCGGTGAAGACACTTGCCAGTTGGTCAGCACATGCTCGGAGTACACGTCCTGGTAATCCGTCTGGCCCTGCGGCCTTGTGAATGTTGACCTGCTTAAAAGCCTTACTCACATCGGCTATGGAGAGCGTGATCACATAGTCATCCGGAACAGCTGGTGCTCTCATGCATGCTTCAGTGTTGCTTGCCTCGAAGCGAGCATAGAAGTGGTTTAGCTCGTCTGGTAGGCTTGTGTCACTGGGCAGCTCGCGGCTGTGCTTCCCTTTGTAGTCTGTAATAGTTTTCAAGCCCTGCCACATCTGACGAGCATCAGAGCCGGTGTAGTACGATTCAATCTTAGTCCTGTTTTGACTCTTTGCCTGTTTGATGGTTCGTCGGAGGGCATAGCGGGATTTCTTATAAGCGTCCGGGTTAGAGTCCCGCTCCTTTAAAGCGGCAGCTCTAGCCTTTAGCTCAGTGCGGATGTTGCCTGTAATCCATAGCTTCTGGTTGGGGCATGTACGTACGGTCACTGTGGGGACGACGTCATTGATGCACTTATTGGTGAAGCCAGTGATTGATGTGATGTACTCCTCAATGCTATCTGAAGAATCCCGGAACATGTTTCAGTCTGTGCTAGCAAAACAGTCATCTGACCACTTTTTTATTAACCAAGTCACTGGTGCTTCCTGCTTTAGTTTTTGCTTATAAGCAGGAATCAGGAGGATAGAGTTATGGTCAGATTTGCCAAATGGAGGGCGAGGGAGAGCTTTGTATGCATCTCTGTGTGTGGAGTAAAGGTGGTCTAGAGTTTTTTTTCCTCTGGTTGCACATTTAACATGCTGGTAGAACGGATTTGAGTTTCCCTGCATTAAAGTCCCCGGCCACTAGGAGCTCTGCCTCTGGATGAGCGTTATCCTGTTTAGTTATGGCCTTATACAGCTCATTGAGTGCAATCTTAATGCCAGCATTGGTTTGTGGTGGTAAATAGACAGCTATGAAAAATATAGATGAAAATAGTGTGGTCTACAGCTTATCATAAGATACTCTACCTCAGGCGAGCAAAACCTTGAGACTTCCTTAGTATTTGATTTTGTGCACCAGCTGTTGTTTACAAATATACACAGACCGCCACCCCTTGTCTTACCGGAGTCAGCCGTTCTATCCTGCCGAAGTAGCGTATAGCCCGCTAGCTGTATGTTGTCCATGTCGTCGTTCAGCCACGACTCGGTGAAACATAAAATATTACAGTTTTTAATGTCCCGTTGGTAGGATAACCGTACTCTTAGGTCATCTAATTTATTTTCCAATGATTGAAGATTGGCTAGTAGGATTGATGGAAGAGGCAGTTTACTCGCTCGCTGTCGGATCCTTACGAGGCACTCCGACCTACGTCCACGATATCTCCGTCTCTTTCTCTTGCGAATGACAGGGATTTGGGCCTTGTCGGGTGTCTGTAGGATATCCTTTGTGTCCGACTCGTTGAAGACAAAATCTTTGTCCAATATGAGTTGAGTAATCGCTGTCCTGATATCCAGAAGCTCTTTTTGGTTATAAGAGACGATGGCAGATACATTATGTACAGAATAAATTACAAATAACGTGAAAAAACACACATAATAGTACAATTGGTTAGAGGGCTGTAAAACGGCAGCCATCTTCTCCGGCGCCACTCTACATCATCATGTTGTCAACAATCTAAGCCAACCCTGTCTGTTTTGCCCCAAAGTTGCGCACGTGTCGGTTTTGTTGATAAACAACCAACCCGTCTATACAATCACGTCATCATGTTAATATCTTGGGCTGTGAGTGATGACAAAGACAAAATGGCCTCTGCGACAATTATTTGAATAATGCAATGGATGTTTTGTGCACAAAGATGACTAAAGTGTCTAATTAGGAATTTTCTAAGCCGTCTATGTGGCCGTCTATGGAAATTGTCTTTCTGGGCCGGGAGTCAGTTAACTGCAGTACCGCATCAAAACTGTAGGAGCAGTAGAAACCGTGCTTCTAGCCCGGAACCCTGCCCTCTTGGGCCCTACATTTATATTTCCATTCTTAGTGTCCTTTTTTGTTCTGGGGCTGCACTTGTGTCTCGTGACATCTTTAGAACAGGAAACCAGGGCCATTTGGAGGAAGTGAACGCATGGAGACACATTGGAGGGGAAATTAAAGGGGATGAAGTATGGAGCAGAGGGATAAGGCATAGTGAGTAGGAATGGTTGCCGTCTACATACTTTAGTATACTGTACATGAAATACCAGGATGTCATTGCAACACAATAAAATCACTATACTGGTCATATAATATAAACACCATCAAACGATAAATACTGTACAATCAAAAAAGCAGTGCCCGTTTTCTGGAATCTTTCTCAACTGCATTTGATTTGCACAGCAGCATGTCCCAGTGGAGGGAGTTAACATTTGATATATTGCCAGTCCCACTGTTGTTGCATGTTTTTGATTGAATTCCAGACTA